ATTTCAGTCTGTGGGGGTTTTTATGGCAGCTAACAACTGTCCGTAACTCCAGTCCCAGGGGATCTGACAGCCTCTTCTGACTAGGCACTGCACTGCACCACACAGGTGCACTTACCTACATGCAGGCAATACACGCATACACATACAAAAACAATATATGGCTGGGTATGATGGTGCATACCTTTAATCCCAGTACCCAGGAGGCAGAGGCAGGTGAGTCTCTGTGAGTGAAGGTCAGCCTGGTCTACCTGGTGAGGCTAGCCAGAGATACACAGTGAGACCCCATTTCAACAAAAAAAATAATTAATACATTTCATAATCATAACATGCAGTGGGGGAAGCAAACTTCTCAGTGTTTTCAAATCCCTGGCATGCTACTCTTTGAGGTTCAGAAACAATAAATCAGTATTCCCAGAGTAAACATACTTCTAACAATCATCACACCCTATTAATTGAATAGCTAAAATTCTTGTTTAAAGAGTAAACTATATTAAGTTTAGTAGTACATCCAAAGAACGACACCATGCAGAAATATTCTTACAATGAAAAACATAGTTTAGAATTCCTGTCTCTCAGTAGGGTAGTAGTCCCTCAGGGAATCACATGTGGACACGACCCATTTATGGACTTACTTTGCACTGAAAATGTGTTGTACCTTGAGAGAACACCACAGTCAATCAAAATTACAGGTCAACAACAGAAAGAAAATTTGAAAATCCTTAAACATTAGAAAATTAACACATGAATAACAAAACACAATAGCCTGTGGTCAGAGAAGAAATAACGTATTTTTCTGCTACTAAGTATGTGTGTGTGTGTATGTATGTGTTACAAAGTTTGCAGACTTGAACTACCTGTCTGTAGATGACTCCCATAGAACAGAAAGTGAAAGTGTTCACACTTAACAAGATAGCTCTGCTTTATAGACTCTGGTTTTCTTCTAACAAAATTATTTTCAGCTTATTATGTAAACGCATCATCTATTATGTAGCGATAAGTTGTCATATATGGAGGTCTTATAAACGAGGCACATGCTGGGCATTTTACATGCTGTTTAATCTTTACAACTTTCACATAAATACATTATACTTGGTTTTTAAAGATTTATTTGGGGGGGTTGGAGAGATGACTCAGTGGTTAAGAACACTGCCTACTCCTGCAGAGGTCCTAGGTTCAGTTCCCAGCACCCACATGGTGGCTAATCACCGTCCATAACTCCAGTTTTATGTGATTTGATGCTCTCTTCTAGCCTCTGTGGGCACTGTATGCACAGGTGCACTTATATACTTGCAGGCAAAACACTCATACACACAAAATTAAAAAATTAAGATTTATTTTTATTTGCCTGTATGCATATGCATTTGCATGTATGTATATGCACATAGTTGTGAGTGCCTGGAGAGGCCAGAAGAGGACACCAGGTCCCCTGGAGCTCGAGTTACAGGTGGTTGTGAGTTTCCCAATATGGGTTCTGGAATAACAGCAAGTGCCTTTAACCTCTGAGCCACCTCTCCAGCTCCAGGCCAATTTTTTTTTTTTAGATTTTATTTATTTATTTATTTATTTATTTATTTATATTTATTTATTTTTAATGTGTATTATGAACAAAGAAAACTGAACATGTACTGACCAGAAAGGGACAGCTGTAGACAATTCAAGCTTTGTTTGGCTTATACTTTTCCATGTCCAAATACATCATTGAGAGAAGTCAGGATGTAAACTCAAGGCAGGAACCAGGAGGCAGGAACTGAAGCAGAGACCATAGGGTAGGGTGGGGGGGAGTACTTACTGGTTTGTCTCTCCCAAGCTCATGGTCTACTACCTTTTTTATATAGCCCAGGCCCACCTACCCAGGGATGGCACCACTCATAGAGGGACAGGCTCTACTACATCAACAAGCAATTAAGAAAATGCCCTAGAGATATGTGAAAAGGCCAATTTGATGGAGGAAATTCCTCAGTTGAAATTCCCTGTTCCCAGGTGTGTCAAGCTGACAATTGAAGTGAAGCTATGACAACCCAGCGTTTTTGTTGTTTTTTGTGCTCTGAGCAGATTCAGTATGTCACTGAAATTCTATAGATCAAGATGGCTGTGCCCACAGGGGATGGGTAAAGATGAGGAAGGACCAGCCTTCACAGTGTGCTCAATAGCTATCCAGAGTTTGAGGGAGCACAGGATGGAGGGAAGTCCCACAGTGTTCTTCCTCCAAAGGCAAATAAAAGATGTGCTGCAATGTTTGGAACTGCTGTGGATAATTTGTAGGGAGGTTCAACGGAAATCTCAAAAGTTAGCAGAATCAGTTTCTTATAAAAGTTAAGAAGTCTACAAGAACCAATGGGGCTTACTTAAGAACCAGTACCCCACCATTCAGAGGGAGAAACTGAATTCTAGAGAAGGGAGAGTGGCCCTGCTGCTAAAGGCAGGAGTCCAGTCCTGATCCCAGAGGCAGAGTCCAAAGATGCCCATCTCCGTCACATTACCTTGGGCTCAGCAGATCAAAGAACCTAACCCCAAGGAAACCATCAAGCATGAGCACCTTCAACGCTCTAGTTCCCTATAATGTAAACAATAAGGAAGCACATCTTCAAGTAGACACAGGATGGGGGCTTTGGCTTTCCGCCCCCGCCCCCTTGAGACACGGTGGGACATGTGGGACTGGTGACTCAGGAGATGGTCTTGAATTCGCTTTGTAGAGAAAGATAATCTTGAACTCTTGATCTTCCTTCCTCCACTAGTGCTGGGATTACAGGTTTCACTCGGCGCTGGGACTCAAAATCAGGGTTTCCTGCATGCTAAGTAAACACCCTACCAACCGAGTTACATCCTCAGCCTGTTTTCAATCCATCAAACCTACTTTTTTTTTTTAAAGACACCTTGAAATATAAATAATCTAATAATGAATTACACAAAATGTCCATATTTAATTTCAAACCTACTTTTGAACTAGGTAGAAGACCCAGACCAACTGCCGAAAGAGACGTTCGGCTGGCAGAGCCCCTGGCTGTGGCCCTGGGCTCTGGAACCCGCCTCCCGCAGTCTCTGCACCGCGCACCGGGTGCTGCGGTCACACCCGCGCCCCACGCAGCGGACCCCGGGTGCAGGCTCTACAGCTGAGCGCAGGCAGCACCACCGCCCACCGACCACCGCTCCTAGGCCCGCGGCCGCGCGGAATCACGGGGCGGAGGCGGAGCCCGCGGAGGGCGTGGCCGAGGGCGGTGTTCGGCTCTCCGGTGCGGCGCGCGCGCCCTGGGCGGCACCTCTGGAACCGCGTGGTGCGGCCCGGGCGCGAGGCCGGAGGTGGGCGACGTCCACGCGGGGCCCGGGCAGCGTCCTCGCGGGACTTCCGTGTGGCCGGCTCGTCCTGCGGCGGCTGCCCGGGCTCGCGGCCCTGCGCCATGTACACCTTCGTGGTGCGCGACGAGAACAGCAGCGTCTACGCCGAGGTGTCCCGGCTGCTGCTCGCCACTGGCCACTGGAAGAGGCTGCGGCGCGACAACCCCAGGTTCAACCTGATGTTGGGCGAGAGGAACAGGCTGCCGTTCGGGAGACTGGGTGAGCTTTTGCCTGGGTCGTGTCTCCTGTCCTTGGCCTGGCCGCGGCGCGCACGCCCTGCCGGGAGAGCCGGCGCTTTTGTTTTTAAGGTCATCAATCTTCCCGGTGCCCGGGCTCGCTGGGGCAGGTCTAGAACGGATCTAGCAGGAGCCGAGTCCCGTGCGGCTCCCCGGTCTGCTCAGGGTGACCCGGCCCTGCATCTGGGACGTGAGCCGCGGTCTCCCGCTTACCCGGGCGGGGGGCTCCGCAGAACCGGGGGCTGGCATCCATCCGCTGCAGTCATCCTGCAGCTCCCCGCCACGGAGGATTCCGCCCCGTGTAGGGTGGGTGCCGAGTAGGAGTTTTCGGGGTTGAAACCATTAAGGCTTCTGCTACCCTGAGGCCCAGCTGAACCCATGGGGAATTGGAGGAAACTTGCACTCCCAAGGCAGGAGCTTCCAGGCAAGGCTGGGGGCTGTCCTATTTTAGTCTTGTTTTGCTAGACCAAAAACGTGCTTTCACGATTGTGCGTCTAGTAGTGGGTTACATGAGCCCAGGTTCCCCTTGGGCTCTGCTTTCTCCCTCCTTTACTCCCTCACATAGGTGAAACTGGTCAGGTACCAGCCTATCCACAACTCGCCTGTAGAAAGGGTCCTTTTAAAATGATGTAATCTCGAAGTTGTCCAGATGGGTTCAACGCACTGCCCATGGACTTCTGCTTGGTCGCATGGAACCTTCACTGCAGTCATCTGGGAAGGGTTCGCCCCTCTCTGGGTACCGCCCCTCTCAGGGTACGTGGTTCCTTTGCCAAAACTCATCTGGGGTGAGGTCAGTTTATTCCAAGAACAAAAGGGGAGAATTGATACTGATAAGTAGGTCCTTGGAGGGTAGCCCAGAGAGCAGAGTTCTATGCCCTGAGGAGGTGAGGGGAGGGTTTTCAGAAATAGGTGTGGTCAGAGGTTGGATGAGACCAGACTGGAACTAGGCTGGTTGGAATTGGCTGGGTGTTGCTGAATTTAGGCGTTAGGACATTAGAGAGCTGTATCAAATATAAAGGTGGGAGGAAGCGTGCTGAGGTTTAGCCTTACAGACAGGGTCCAGGGACAACTTTTCATTGTCACCCAAGTTTATGGTGTAGAACTGTGGCTCCATAGAGAGGCTGGTTGCAAGCCCCAGAAATCTCAATACAGAGAACGTACCTGGAAATGGATTCCCTTTTTGTTAAACTGCTTCCTCTGGAAGTGCTCAGCAGTTTAGGCCTGCCTGTTAAGGAATTTGAATATGGAGAATACACCCAAAGGGTCTGCCCTGGCCAGGAAAGGAGTGGCTGTCGCAGCAGTGTACAAGCTTAGAGATGACCAACAGAAGCCTTTTAGGGTCCCAGTCCCAAGCAGGGATACATTCAGCAGATGACCAGCAAACATTTGGCTTTTATGGGAAAGCAAAGAAGCATCCTCAAACCAAAATGGGTATGTCTCCTCACTGTTAGGGGTGTTTTTTGCTCAAAGTGGGCTGCATAAAACCCAAAGACAAAGCTCAGAGAGTCAGGGAATGGCTCTGTAAGGCCAGTGCCAGGGGGATAAGAAAGTAACAGGTCAGGTGGGAATCAGGCCTATCTGCTCCAGGGAGACTGTGAAAACCAGGTAATGTTGGGCACTTTGATTTGATTGTGTGCCATGCTTGGATAAATTATTGCTACCTCTGACACCAAATCAAAATCTTTTTAAAAAATATTTTATTTATTATTTTTATTTTATGTGTATGAGTGTATTGCCTGCATGTATGTAGGTACACCAATGTCATGCAGTGCCTGTGGCGGTCAGAAGAGTGTCAGATCCCCTGGAACTGGAGTTATGGACAGTTGTTGGCTGCCATGTGGGTGCTGGAAATCGAACCTGGGTCCTCTGCAAAAGCAGCCAGTACTCTTAACTGCTGAGCTATGTCTCCCACCCCCAAATCAAAATTCTTTAAAAATATTTTTATTGGAAAGGCAGTGCATTTTGTTAGGATTTAAATTCTTTTATATACAAAATACTTGTATTCTTTCATTTCTAATTGTATGTTTTACTTTTTTTCATCTTTGTGGTGCTGGAGATTGAACTCAGGGCCTCCCATATGCTGAGCAAGCACTCTCCCACTGAACTACACTCCAAGCCTTCTGCTCTGGTTATATAAAGTTTTGTGATAAGAGCTGTTAAAATGCTTCCCTGTGGGATGATGTACAGAAGAAAGTTCTCAGGGCTTCCACCATTATGGACATGTCCTTTCCAGTACCTTCCTCTACTCCTAGTAGACCTGCTACAGACATGCTGGAGTCTAGCAGCATCATAGTTCTGCCTTCTTTGAAGTGTGGCAAAAGCCAGGCTGGGATGTGTGATGCATTCAAGTAGCCTTACTTGACAGATTACTGTGTGTCTTAAGCCAAGAGAGGAGAGTAATAGGATGAAGAACAAGTGAAACAGAAAATACCCTGTACCCTCCACCCTAATAAGAAAAAAGGCAGCCGTGTTCATTGGCAGACCTGCAGTGTTATTTCAGTATTGAGAGTAGGGTGCTGCAAGGAAAGGGGGCCTCAGGGACACAAACAGTCCTTCCCTTTCTATCAGCCTGAAGTTAGAGAAAGCAAAGATGGGCACGACACATCTGTTCTGCTTGCCACTGCTGACAGCATCATTCCCCACCTGTTCTGTTTCCCTTCTGAGCCTCTCCTTTCCTTGTAGGTCACGAGCCTGGGCTGGTACAGCTGGTGAATTACTACAGGGGGGCGGACAAACTGTGCCGAAAGGCTTCCTTAGTGAAGTAAGTGTTCTTTAAGACATCTATTTTCAGTGTTTTACATACATGTGTTTAGCTTTCATCCTGAAGCACTTAGACCAAGATGAGGGATTATTTTAAAGGAAAAATACTTGACTATTTTAAAAGCCAACAAATACCAGTGCTGCAGCCTTCTCTAGGTTTCTCCAACTACAGTTTAAGGTGTTGCTGTGTATCGCTTAATAAACCAGCTTGGTTTCCTAGGTGAGGCTCCTAGGAAGCAGAGCCTGACTCAGTTTCTTTCGTAAGTGATTTCTTGGGGGATGGTTCTTAGGGCAAACCCATCTGTAAGCCAGGGGAGCAGGGTAGGGCAGGGTGATAGGGACCAAGCGAAGAAGTGGTTTTCGTTGAAGACTCACCCTCGAAGCCCTGAGGTGCATGGCACCTCAGAGTTGTCATATCTAGAAGAAAGGGAACAGTTCTCATGTCAGTCAGGAACATTTTTTTCTTGGGATTTGCTGGCCCTGGTAATGCCCTTACGTTCTCTTTTCTTGGGTGTCGGGAAAGATGGAGGGCTAAGTTGCCAAGTATTTGTGGTCCCTGGAGAAGAGTGTGCGTATACCTCCTCGGGCAACTCTCAAGCTGCTAGGGGTCCTTCAGAGAGGATATCTGGACAAGGTACCACAGGACCTGCTTCACCACCCACCTCTGAGCCATGAGATATGGCAGGATAGCATAAGAATGACATTATAAGGTGGGAAGGGACAACATTACACAGTGACCAAGACCTAAGGTCAGCAGCTCGGCTTGGAGCCTCGGCTTTTAGAGGAATCTTATTAGTGAGCAGATCTCATCCCTCTAAGCCTCCATGCCTCCCTTAAAGCAGTTACGAAGATTAAACAAGGTCACACATATAAAGTGGATGTAGCACAGTGACCTGGTGCACCATGGGTGTTTGTGCTTTAACTTGCTTTCCCTGTAAGTGTAATGAGAATAATTACCTTAGGATTGTTATAGGGATTGAGTTATTTATGAAGATTTTGGAATGTCTCATCATTTGTAATTGTGAAATATTCATCTGATTACTACTATTGTGGTTGTTATTGCTGTGATTACTGTCATTTTAATAATGAAACACAGGTCTCCAAAATCAGGGCTGCAGTAAATCTCTGGGATTTATTTCCACATGACCAGGGCTAGAGAGATGGCTTAATGATTAAGAACACATACTCCTCTTCCAGAGGGCCTAAGTTCATTTCCCAGCACCCATGTCCAGCAGCTTATAACTGCCTGTAACTCCAGCTCTAGGGGATCTGACACCCTCTTCTGGCCCCTGAGGGTATCTACACACATGCCTCATACACTCACACAGACACATAAGGATAAATATAAACAAAAATAAAAATAACACTTTTTTCTTCCTTCCTTCCTTCCTTCCTTCCTTCCTTTCCTTTCTTCTTCTTCTTCTTTTTTTTTTTTTTTTTTTTTTTTTTTTTGAGACAGGATCTCACTATGTAGCCCTAGGTGGGCTGGAACTCACTATGTGGACCAAGCTGGCCTTGAACTCACAGAGATCTGCTACCTCTGATTCCTGAGTCCTAAGATTAAATGTGTGTCCTACCATGCCTAGCTAAAAATAAATCTTTTAACCAGAAGAATATGGCCTCATAGCTAGGAAGCAGAGGATGCTGAAAAAAAAAATTAGTGCTCTGCATATTTGCATATTCAACAACTATAATGAGTCAGAGAACAGACTAAAGTCATGGTCAGTTAAGTAGATATCCATGACTTTGAACAGTGTACCCTGAATCCCAGTAGCCCCTTTGTAAAATGGGGCTAGATGGTGGTCACAATGCCTGTTCTTTGACCTACAGTGACATGGGATGTCATCTATAATGGCACCTTATAAATGGTGACATGACCTAAGCAGGCTGGCTGCTGTCACATCCTCATCAGCTTCCTTCCATCTCGAAGTGTCCAGCAGGGGGCTGTAGCACCCCCAGGGGATGCTGCTCTCTTGCACAGTGTGTCTCTTCTGTGATTTTGTTTGGTTTGAAAGGACCCTAGAGAAGTACAATCTCCCTCATTTTATAGGACACATTGGTGTATGTGTGTGTGTGTGTGTGTGTGTGTGTGTGTGTGTGTGTGTGTGTGTATGTATACATGTAGAGAGAGAGAGAAGGAAGGAGAGGGAGGCCAATCAGTGCTTGTGCCAGGAGAGGTCTGATTTGTGATTTGTACAGATGGGGCATATGTGACTGGGCATGCCTCCCAAAGCCTCGATGGGGTTCTGTGCTGGACCCTGGACAGCTGGCTTCTTTCTTATTTCAGGGAGTATCAGAAATTTATCAACAACCCATTGCTACAGCCTTGGAGCCCTTGTAGGATTTTTTTGTCCTGACAGGGTTACATGCTTTCTTTTTCTCTTGTGGGTGTTATTCCCTCACAGATGTGGATAAACCTGGATTTACAATTGCTCACCATACAGGCTGCTCCAGGAATTGAATAACCACAAAAGACTTTGTGTAGAGCTTGGGCTGTGTTCTGTATAGGAAGTGAGGACTTCCAACCAAGGTCATCTTACAGACCAGCATTGCCCAACAGAAATAGCATGCTAGCCACACATGTAATTTTAGACTTTCTAAGACAGTAATTGCAAAGAAACAGGTGCTGTTAAATCAGTGTATTTTATTTAACCAAATAAATCCAAATATTGGGGTAAGGGTATAATTTAGTGGCTGAATACCTGCCTGGCAGGTATAAAACTTTGTATTTGATCCACAGCATCATAAAAAAGGAAGAAAAAACCCTCTAAAATATATTGGTTTTTTTTACATGTCATTAATATAAAAATTAATGATATATTTAATTTTTTTCATTCTGAGTCTTCAAAAGCTGATGTATATTTTAAATTTGCATCACATCTTAGTTCTGACATTAAATTTTCATTAGAAACCCTTGATCTTTAGTCACACATAAGAATTTATGATTGAAGAAGTAGATTTAGGGCTGGGGATGTAGCTCATTGGGTAGAATGACAATCCAACAGGCACAAAGCACTGAGTTTGAGCTCTAGCACCACACACAAACTGTGGTGGAGAGATGGATCAATGATTAAGAGCACTGACTGCTCTTACAGAGGGCCCGGGTTCGATTCCCAGCACCCACGTGGCAGCTAACAACCATCCATAACTCCAGTTCCAGGGGAATCTGATGCCTTCTGACCTCTGCAGGCACTGAATGATACCAGTACACCTACACACATGAAGGCAGTACATTAATACACATAAAAATAAATAAAATAGTTTTAAAAATAAAAACTATGGAGTTGGAGAGATGGCTCAACAGTTAAGAACACTGGCTGTTCTTGCAGAAGACCTGGGTTTGAATCCCAGCACCCACATGGCAGCTAACAACTGTCCGTAACTCTAGTTACAGGGGATCTGACAGCCTCTTCTGTCCTCTGTGGGCATTGCACGACACGAGTGTACCTACCTACATGCAGGCAATACATGCATACACATAAAATAAAAATAAAATATTTTTTAAAAATAAAAACTATGCATGGTGATGCACGCCTATCATCCCATCTCTTGGGAAGTGGAGTCAGGAGGATCAGGAGTTCAAGCTCATCTCTACTACATAGTGAGTTTGAGGTAAGCCTACGTTACAGAAGACTCAAAAAATAAAACAAGCAAACAATAAACAAAGGAAAAGTAGATTTACATACCTAAGTTGTTCCAAGTACATAAAAATTTTTCAGTAATTGAATTGAATATAAAAAGTAATTTTGGGGGGCTGGAGAGATGGCTCAGCAGTTAAGAACACCTACTACCTATATGGTGGCTAACAACTCCAGTTCCAGGAGATCTGGTGCCCTCTTCTGTCCTCCGATGGCATTGCATGACACAGGTGCACTTATATACACGCATACACATACAAATAAAAATAAAGCTGGGCGTGGTGGCTCATGGATGCAGGCAGATCCCTCTGAGTTCAAGGCCAGCCTGGTCTACATGGTGAGTTCCAGGACAGCTGGGGCTACAGGGAGACGGTGTCTCAAAAAAACCAAAAAAAAAAAAAAAAAAAAAAAAAAAATCAAATTAAAACAAAAAGTTTTTTAAAGTAATTTAAGGGCTGGAGAGATGGCTTAGTGCTTAAGCACACTGACTGCTCTTGCAGAGGACTTGCCTGGGTTCGGTTCCCAGCACCCACATTTGAACATATGGTACATACTGAAAACATTTGCTTCTGTCTGTAACCCCAGGACCAGGGGATCTGATACCCTCTTCTGGCATATGTGAGCTTTGCATGACATAGTTGTACTTACATACATGCAGTCAAAACACTCATATATATGAAATGAAAATAAATAAATTTAAAACATTTTAAAGCAATTTCCTTTAATATTCATGTACACATTGGTAAAACAGACTCTTTTTTTTTTCCAGAAGAGTTTATTTGGCTTTGAAACAAAAATGAAAATATTTGCAAAACTAGTCCAAATTAAGTAAATTCCAACTCTTGTGTCGTTAGTATTTTTAATATGGGATTCAAGGAGGGTATTCAACATATTGAAAAATAATTCTAGGACTGGAGAGATGGCTCAATGGTTAAGAGTACTGGGTGCTCTTGCAGAGATCCTGGGTTCAATTTCCAGCACCCACATGGCAGCTAACAATCATCTATAACTCTAGTTCTAGGGGATCTGACACCCTCGTTTCCATGGGCACTGTGTGACATGGGTGCACTTACATGCATGCAGGTGATACACTCATACACATAAAATAAAAATAAATAAAGGGGATGGAAAGATGGCTCAGCGGTTAAGAGCACTGAGTGCTCTTGCAGACGACCTGGGTTCAATTCCTAGTACCCACATGGTGGCTATGAATCGTCCTTAACTCCAGTTCCAGAGGAATCCGAAGCCCTTTTCTGACCTCCGTGGCATTACATAACACGGGTACACTCACATACATCCAGGCAATACACTCATACACATAAAAAGAATAATAAATAAATACATAAATACATAAATAAATAAATATAAAAAGAAAACTCTGTTACTTTTGGAGTATTAAAGTTTTTTCCAGCAACAGTCATAATCCTATTATAGTTAAAAATCATCTGCATATTACTGCATGATAAAATGTGTAGAAAATCATTACTATTAATTGTATTAATTATAAAATTGGAACACTATCACACCTGTATGGCTAGATCATAAAGTCTTCTTTTCTCTCACTGGAGCTGAAATTTAGCTTGCGTGCATGCAATGTGGATATATAGGAGATGATATCATGCTGCCATTTACAAAAAATATGAATATTGAATGAAGTGTAATAGCTTATTGAGTGAAATAATGATTTGACAAATGTTCCTTCTAGTTCAAGAAAATACGAATTGGTGTAAACAGTACAGTTAAACTTTCATCTCTCCATCAGTATTGGCAGAGAACAGTGTCAATAAATTAACTGACTTCTGTGTTTTTCTTTTTCTTTCCCAACAGTTTCATAAACTGGTGAATCATTGTAACAGTCGCAAGTGTATACTGAGCCATTTAGGCAACTGTAGCTATGATACTTTATATAGAGTTTGTTTCGGAAAGCTGAGAAGCTAAATGTATTTGGTGTGTATCATACAGGGCAAGAAAGCAAATGTTTCCAGTATGTTTCCAATATGTAACATACCCTGGAGTGAGGTTAGAAAGAAAGGAAGGAAGGAAGGAAGGAAGGAAGGAAGAAAAGAAAAGAAAAGAAAGGGTCAGGTGGAGTGTGGTGGTTCACATCTTTAATCACAGTGCTCAGAAGGCAGAGGCAGAGGCAGAGGCAGGCAGATCTCTGAGTTTGAGGCCAATGAGGGATGCATAGTGAGACCCTGTCTCAAAAAACCAAAACAAGAAAAAAGAAAGACTACTACAGTCTACTAAAATTCCAGCAAATCTACATTTTAACCTAACCTGTTGAAGTTTTGTATGTTAGGATATACAAAATAATTTTTTACATATGGATGAAATTCTTTGATGTCAAATATTAACAAATACCAACATTGGGAGTTCCATGTTTTTTAGGCTGTGATTTGACAATGCTTTTCCACATAAGTATGTCCAAAGTATTAATTGAGCAGCATCTACTCTGTTGTAACTTCTCTGAAGCTATGGAAAACTTTTTGTCTTTTTGAGACAGGGTCTCTCTGTAGCCCCAGCTGGACTGGAATTCTCTATGTAGATCAGGCTGGCTTTGAACTCACAGAGATCCTCCTGCCTTTGCCTCCCAAGTGTTGGGACTACAGGCATGCGCCACTGTGCCCAGCTCCATTTAATATTTAAAAAATTTTTCAATCCATTTTTGATGTTGTTAGAATTTGTAGTCAATGGCTATTTGTGGCTTAACTATAAAACTTACAAACTATCTTTTCACATTTTTCCCTAAAATAATTTATTCATATTTATGCATCCACAATGTTTTTCTTTTTGTGTAAAAGTTCAAGCCATTTTATAGCTGACTGAAGTTCCAAGATTGGGTCTTGTTAAAAGCTTACTGGGAGACCTGGACTGCATGTACCTCAGTCAAAGAGCACTTGCCTAGCTGTGAAGAGACCCTGGGTTCTGTCTCCAGCACTGCAGGGTTAAAAAATGTCTTTAAAATGCTTTTGTTAGATGTTTGTGATTTAATTTGATTTGTTCATTAATTGAATGGTGAGGGAAGACTGTTTATCAAATAGTCTTTGCTGAAACAAATCTGCGCTATAGAACAGACCACTTTTCCATTTCATCTTTCTGTGCTCAGAGCAGGTGGCAGTCCTTGAATCTGTGGCACAATGTTCCTGCACTCTCATTTACTTATTTTCTCTGTACTGCCTTGGTCATTGTCCTAGCTTCTGTGTCCCTACTCAGTTTTTCATAGTATTATGCCTTAATTTTATATTTAAAATTTTGTCAATACTTGTCTTTTGAGACAGGGTCTCCCAGCAGCAGTCCCAGCTGACCTGGAACTCACTATGTATATCAGGCTATCCTCACAGAGATCCGCCTGCCTCTGCCTCCCAAGTGCTGGGATTAAAGGTGTGTGCCACCATACTGGCTTCAGTACTTTAGTTTTTTAACTAGGAAAATAGATTCCACCTTAGGTACCACTTCTGGTCACATAACTATTTTGTAACTCATGTTCTCTTTATTAAAAACATTATGTTTCATCAATGCACAGAGAAAAGCATGCTTGAGCTAGTTAATCTATTGTCCCTCAATAGAACAAGATGCTTTTGTGTGCTGTATTAGAAATGACACATGGACATGACGCGAACAAGTAAATGCCATCCCACTAAATCAATAAAGTTGTGCTTAATGGAGAAATATGATGGTGCATTGTTTTTTCCTGTTTAAAATTAGATACAGTTTACGGTTCACTTCCTGAGGCTCACTGGCCTGCATTCAAAGTGGCTGCATGTGACCAGTGACCACCATAAGGGACAATGTAGTGCAGAATATTTAGGAGCTAGAAATTTATATTTCTTAGTCTCTTTAGGTGGAAGGAACTTTCAAATTATGTTGCCTTCAGAATGGCTTTATTTAGAATCTTTTTTATGTGTGTGCGTGTTTGTGTGTATGCAGGTAAGCATACATGTGGAGGCCAGAGAACAACATCTCAGGTGTACTTCAGGCCCCATGTACTTCTTTTTTCTTGACAGGGTCTGTCACTGGTCTGGAACTTGCCAATTAGGGTAGGCTGTCTGGCCATTGAGCAGCAGGGGTCTGCCTCTCTCCCCTCTCCCTCCCCAGCACTGGGATTTCAAGTGTGCCACTGCATGTGGCTTTTTATGTGAGTTCTGAAGATCAAACTCAGGTCCTCATGCTTGCATGGCAAGCACATTACTGACTGAGCCATCTCTCTGCCACTTTATTTTAAATCTTAATTTAAATGTTATTTTTGCTGTTTGCTCACAGACTGGGTTTTAGAGCTAAATCTTAGTACAAACCTCACATGAGCAGTTCTGTTCTAGACAGAAGAGAGAGTACAGCTTAGTGAAAAGAAGGCCTGCACCTGTCCTGACTAGGCCTGCCTGCTCTAGTTGCTGGGGGTTAGGGTAAGGTGAAAGCTAGGACTTCGGAGTTTGGTGCTTGCATCCTGGCTGGTCCTCACACATTTGTGATATTGGAACTTTACATCTCTGTGACTCAGTTCTTCATTTGTGAAACAGATTCCTGAACTTCCAGCTGTGGTTCTGATTAGAGAGCAGTTCAAGGGAAGCCCTTGTGTTGAAGGGCCTTGCCAGGGGCTGGCTTTATCTTCTGTGGTGTTAATGTTGTTTGGAGAGCAGAAGGCATTGTGCTAGGTCCACTGAGGTCCTGTGTCTTGTTAGAAGGATTTCTTCTTTATTCCGTCACTGAGCTAAAAGCTAGAAATAAACGGTTTAATAATAGTATGTAGATAACTTAGATGAAGTATACAAGTAGACTAAGTAGTTGGCTTAGTGGTTTTTTTCTCCTCTAGATACTTGGACCAAATAGTATTTTTGCTAGTTATCCAAATATTTACTTCTCTTTCCACTTCATTTTTGTACTGTGGGTCTGTCTAGATACAACATATTGGTGAAAAGGTGTCAGTTTTAGGATTACATTGTTTCCATACAGATACATTTAAAAAGATCTAAATTTCTGAGCCCCTCCCCTTTTTTTGGCTGTTAAAATTTTTATTTATTTATTTATTTTATGTGTATGTTTATGTATCCCATGGAACTAGAATTATAGGTCCCCACAGAACTGGAGTTATAGTTGTTAAGCACCATGGGGGTGCTGGGAACTGAACCTGGGCCCTCTACAAGAACAGCCAGTGCTCTTAACTGTTGAGAAGCTCTCCAGCTTTGTTGTTTTGTTTTTTTGAGACAGGGTCTCATATAGCCCATGCTGGTCATGAGGATGACCTTGAACTTCTTCTGATCCTCCTGCCTCCACCTTCTGAATGCTGGGATTCTAGGCATGTGCCTGGTTTATTTGGTGCTAAGGATTACCCAGGGCCTGTGCAAGCTAGACAAGCACTCTACCAACTGAGCTGCGTCCCCAGCCCACCACAAGCCTTTTAAATTAACTGGAACATACCTTTTACAACACACCAGCGAGGTGCATTAGCGGTCTATCCCGGGAGGCCAAGAGTAAACAGAGAATCAGAGAGGAGACCTAGCTGGGTGGTCCCCCCTCCCCACCCTTGAAAAGTTTTGGGAGAAAGCTGCAGCCTTTCTGAGCAGGGTCAAAGCTCACTGAAAACAGAGACTGACCCTCTGTCATCTGCCAGGCTAGTCAAGACCAGTCCAGAACTGTCCGAGTCCTGTGCGTGGTTCCCTGAGTCCTATGTGATTTATCCAACTAACCTCAAGACCCCAGTTGCTCCGGCACAGAATGGAATCCAGCTGCCAGTCAGTAACTCAAGGACAGATGAGAGAGAATTCTTCTTAGCTTCTTATAACAGAAAGAAAGAGGATGAGGAGGGCAACGTTTGGATTGCTAAGTCATCAGCTGGTGCCAAAGGTGAGTGGCCATTGCTGCCCTTCCTCTGTTCCTTGCATGTTCCTGTTGCACTGCACTCAGTGGTGTGTTGGGTTTTGGTGATTGATTGATGATTGATTGATTGTGTATGAAAAGGGGTGTGTGCATGCCACGGTGCATATGTGGAGGTCAGAGGACAACTTGGCAGAGTTGGGTCTCTCCAGTGTGTATCCCAGGGATTGAACTCATGTCATCAGTCTTGGTGGCAGATGTCTTTATCCATTGAGCCATCTCTCTAGTCCTTAATGTATTTAGATGAATGACTCTACTCTGAATCATCACAATTAAAGAACATGTTCAGTTTTTTCTGAAGAAAAAAAAATTTCAGTCTCATGTAGTCTAGGCTGGCTGGTCTTGAACTGTCTAGGAAGCTGAGGATGACCCTAAACTCCTGATCCTCCTGCCTTTGCCTCCTGAGTGCTGGGATTACAGATGTACACCACCACACCTGATTTTATGTAGTTCTGGGAATCAAACCCAGGTCTTTGTGCATGTTAGGCAAGCACTCTACCAACTGATCTTCAGCCCCAGCCCTTTAAAGACCATCTGTTATCTTCCTGAATGTTTCTCTTCCTCTAGGTCTTCTCTTTAAGCTCTGGATTCAGCCATATCCTTGCTGTCTCCAAAGACATTTCAAACTTAAGTGTCTGATCCAGACCTTTCCATTTCCTTTCTGCTTGTCCACCGAAGCCTGCTCCTCTTCCATACTTCCTAATTAGCATATGACTTTACTGTTCACCTTACTGGTGCCCCAAACCTTGAATTTCTCCTTTATTGCCCTTTTCTTTACAACCTATACCAAAGGCTCTAATGTCATGCTGGTGCTGGGTTCAGAATACATCCAGGATTAGATTCTTGACAGTCCCACTGACCCCCTCCTTGAATCAAAGCCACCACTGTCTCTAACCAGTGTTACTGCAGTGCGATTCAGCCAGCTGTCCTCAAAATGCAAATCCATCATGTTGCTTCCTGCCTTTAGGATGACTCCAGAGTCCTGATGGGAGTCCACCCCATTGTACACTTTCTCATATCTCTGAAGTCACCTCCTCTTCTTGGCCTTGCTGACTGTGCTGTAGACACAAAGACTGCCTCGGGGCTCCTCACATTCTCAGATAAGTTTGTCTCTATCCCTAGATGTTGCCTAAAGTAGATGGTTTTCTGTCTCTCTCAGCTCACATGTTGCCTTTTCCGAGGCTTTTCTGGTTGAAAGAAGCCTCCATGCCCACTGCTTTGTGTCTTTACCTCACACGTGTTAACTTCTTCCTAGGACCATATCACACACATTGTCCCTCTCCCCACCATATTAGAAACCCCATGTAACATAGACTTTGTCTTGTTTGCTCTGTACCCTTCACACAGGCACGCAATGTGTGGAATGGGTATGTAGAAAGGGGTGAGGCTTATAGTATTAACTCCGACTTAAAATAGAAATGGCTTCCAGTGTAACAAGCCCAGTCTCCCTCTATAACTACTATCTTTTAAAAACTATTCCATCTTGAATTTACTCCTTTCATTGCCTGGAAGACGATCTGGCTTGGTAGCCCCTGGTCCAGTGGCCCTCAACGTTTTTTACCAACCATGAGACAGGAAGGCATCATGCTGAATCTCCTGAAAGTAGGCAGGGTGGACTCTTGCCACAAGTCAGGTACCTCACGTGCCTCTCTTTCTCTCTTGTGATTCCTCTCAAGTGCTGTCTTCCAGTTTGGTTCTTTGATACATGGAGGGCTTGGAAGAGGAAATAAGCATCTGTGGTGTTCCCTATTGTGAGCTGGGGGTCAGGATGCCATTGGGACATCTCAGGGTCCCTGGGCCCTATAGCAAGACAACACGGGTTGCTAAGCAGGCAGTGGTAAACAGATGAAAATGTCAAAGAATTTTAAGAGTTGAAGAGATGAGAGTATCTATAAGCTTTTGGAGAGGAAAGGACTACAAAATGAAATGATTAGACCAAAACATGACTTTTATACCCATTAAACAAATATCATGCCTATTACATACTTGGGATAGTTGGCTCAGAGTTCAAACTCTCTCTAGTATCTAGCTACTGGTCACCATCTTCATAGTCCATCTGTGATCTGCAGCCACATCACCTCTCACCTGGAGCACTGTTCTCTTTCCTCTGGTCCTGAGCCATTATCCAGAGTTTATATATAACACAGCTAACAGAGATCCTGTTAGAATGCTATCAGACCATGTTACATCTCTGCCCTACACTCTCAGCCCACACCAAGACAGCAACTGGCACCCATCAGAGTTTTAGTATATGTACTCAGTGAATGAATGAATGAATGAATGAGTGAGTGAGTGAGTGAATGAGTGTGTGTTTGGGGATTCAGGAATAAAAGAGGCAGATGTGACCCTTTGACCTCATGGACCCACAATCTAGTCAGGGAGACAGTGGGAAATAGCACAGGATGGGGGACAAATAGGTATAATTTTATAACTTTAAAAAACTTATCACAGCCAGGCGTGGTGGCGCACGCCTTTAACCCCAGCACTGGGGAGGCAGAGGCAGGCAGATCTCTGTGAGTTTGAGGCCAGCCTGGTCTACAGAGCAAGTTCCAGACAGCTGGAGCTACAGGGAGACCCTGTCTCAAAAAGACCAAAAAAAAACAAATCACATAATGCACATGGCAGTAAAGGGAAATGGAAAAGTTACTGTCTTATTTCACAACGTAATTATTTTTATTTTTTCTTATTGCCTTTATAAATGGGTGAAGCCCGGTTCAGTTAGTGATCAGCTGCTTTTCCATATGCTAACATGGATATGTAGAAACTAAAATTAAACCATTATGCCCCGTGTACATCCTCTGAGTGAAAATGGGATGCTAAGGTGGAAGCTCAACAAAGCGTAAGGCATCTCAGAACACTGAAAGTGACAGGATGATTGTGAACAATCGGAAGTGCCTGAAATGATTGACATGCCACATTCATGCACTGCAGAACTCAGCGCAGCAAATACGTCAGTTTACTGTAGACTGGTGTATAGGTTTAATGTGATTCCAATTAAGATCTCAGCAGGGCTTTTTTGTAGACATAAAGCTTCTAAAATTCAGATGGAATTTTACAGGCCGTAGCGTGTCATAAATCATCTTAGAAAGATAAAGTAGAATTACTCCATCCATTAGGTAATACTAAGGTCTACCACATCACTGTAGAACTCTATACACTGATGTACTGGCAAAGGGATGGTGCACTGAGAAGTAGAAGAGAGTTTATTTTCACTCACAGTTCGAGGTGCAGTCCATCATGGTGGTAAAGTCAAGGCAGCAGGAGCTTGAAGTGGCTGGCTATGTTAACCTCTGCAGTCAGAAAGAGCAATGCGTGCCTGTAGCTCAGTTCCTCTTTTCCATCTGTACAGTCCAGAATCCCTTGCCCAGGGAATGGTCCTGTCCACAGTTAAGATAGGTCTTCCCACCTCAATTAATATACTCAGGGATGGTTCCCCATAGGTCTGCCCAGAAACCCTGTCTTCCAGGTGATTCTGAATTCTATCAAGTTGACAGTGAACACTAGCTGTCACAGCATTCAGTAATGAAAGACATGGTTGGGAAGATGTGGGTGTGTCAGCCCTCCTGTAATCTCAGCACAGGGAACAGCAAAGGATCCTTAGGCCAAGCTGACTTGCCAGATTAGCCAAAATAGCAAGCTCTGGGTTCAGTGAAAGATGTGCCTCAATATATAAGATAGAGAGCCATCAAGGAAGAGCCTGACCTCAACCTTGGACCTCCACATACCTGCACATAGGTGTACATGCACACTCATATGCATACCATACATGCCAAGAAAGAGATAAACTTTCCAACAAATGGTGCTATATAAGATACATATTCATAGGAAAAAGAAGATAAGCCAATTCAAACATAGTTTAAGCCAGACCTAAATCATAGTGCATATAAAAGGTAAAACCATAAAATTGGGGGGGGGGTTTAAAATATGATACCAATAATGTGATCACAATACCGAGAGCTGAGAAATTACGCCTCCTCAAAATAAAACTTTTGTTCTATGACACAAACTTTGAAATCTGTAGGCTGTGAAATTAGCTGAACACAAATGGCCATATACTATGTGGCGTGGTTCATATGAACTGTGCAGAAGACACAGATTCATAGAGGCAGCAGGTAAGTAGTCATTAGGGGCTCATGTGAAGAGGGGGCGATAGCTACAGAGTTTTGGGAGATGAAAAAACGTTCTAAAATGACATTCTAGTCTTAACTGAGGAACTCCCAAATATACTAAAACTCATTGCACTGTACACTTTACGAGAATGGATTTTCAATTCAAGTGTTAAAAAGGCTATGTCACTCATTCCAGTTAACGGACAATTTGCATGTGTCCTGTTTTCTCTATTACAGTGCTACAGGGCACATCACTTCATATTCATGTCCTAATCTTTTTGCCTAGATGCCCTAATAATCCTTAAATTTTTATAGGATATTATGTTAGAATCATAAGAAAAAGTGATCATAACAGTATAGGTGGTTGGTTTTTTTTCGGGGGGAAGGGGGAGGGGGAAGAGGGTCTTTTTGAGACAGGGTCTCCCTGTAGCCACAACTGGCCTGGAATTCACTATGTAGATCAGGCTGGCCTCAAACTCACAGAGATCCGCCTGCCTCTGCCTCCCATAGACAGTATAGGTTTATTGTAGCCAGTGACAAATGATACAGTGACTTTTTTTCAAGTACTCAGAAACTTTGTAAAATGGAGAGTTCAGGCCAGAGAGATTGGTCAGTGGGAAAAGGTGCTTGCAAAGCCTGACAGTATAGTTTTAATCCCCAGGACCTACATGGTAGAAGGAGAAAACCTTCTGCAAGTTGTCTTCCAACCTCCATACACACACTATGGCACACTTGCACACATATACAGACAAAATAAGTAATATGGAAGCAAGGGTAAACTCCCTGAAATGTCATGGCCTGATGAGGTAGTGTTGAAAATACTGTATGATTCAAGGGATAATCCTTGCAGGGAGAAGGGAGAGAGATGAAGGGAGGCAGGGAGGGAGATGGTGGGAGGAGGGAGAGAGGCAGCAAGGGAGAAGGTGGGAGGAGGGAGGAAGGTAGGGAGAAGGGAGAAGGAGGGAGGGAGGGAGGGAGGGAGCAGGCCAGTGAACCCTCCTGTGGTTTGGTTCTGCTCTTTCCTTCCTGGCTTTGAAGGGAGTTGTTCCTTTGGAGTGAGCAGGGCTAGTTTTGTGTTGCTTTTGTTCCATTAGGCGAAGGCATCCTCATCTCCTCGGAGGCTTCTGAGCTCCTGGATTTCATAGACAACCAGGGCCAAGTACATGTAATCCAGAAGTATCTTGAGCACCCTCTGCTTCTTGAGCCTGGTCACCGCAAGTTTGACATTCGGTAATGCTTCAGTGTCCCCAGCTGAGCTTGTCATTCATTTGAAAACTAGAGTTTGGAGAGAAGGGGATACATGTGGCTGTGTCTGGTATGCTGCCACACTTGAGTGCAGCCCAGCACAGCTGCTGGTCCCTACCTCATTTTTTGCTTTCATTACTGTTTTTCTTCTACCTAGGAAATGTTACTAAGATTATGTATATATCACATAGGCTTTTCTGTTTATAAAAGTTATTTGTGGTCTGAAGAGAACAGAGTGTGTATATGGGTATTGCTTACATATGGCGCTGGGAAGTCAAGTGCTTGCTGCACAAGCATTAGGATTTGAGTTCAGGTTCCTAGCACCCAGGTATAGCAGAGCACACCTGTAACCCCAACACTGGGGAGGCAGAGACAGGAGGGTCCCTGAGGCTTGCTGACTAGCCAATCTAGTCTAATTGGTGAGCTCCAGGTTCATTGAGAAAGTATCTCAAAAAACAAGGCTTACGGAGATTGAGGAAGACACTAGAGGTTAACTCCTGTCCTCTATAAAGACACACAGAGAAAGAGAGAGAGAGAGAGAGAGAGAGAGAGAGAGAGAGA